CACTTGTGTAAACAGAAAATTACTTGTGTTAATACATGCATATAATTGTTGTTTGTCGTAAATTCATTGTGTTGTGTTACTTATATTTTACCAAGATTCACAGGAGTCCGCCGATAATGTTTGCGGGACAAATATTGCAGGAGCCGGTAAATATTTACTGTAAAATGTCTACACATATCACAACCAAAGAGGTGATACCCGCAACCTAATAGTGACTTATTTTACCTGAGCAACATAAAATCCCGCAACATATTGTAATAAAAGTTATGCGACGAATGGAAGATTCGTTCTAACTGTAGATATTGCTAGACACAATAAGAGAATAACAACATTAACAATATAACATTATATAACAATATAATAACAACATTATATAACAATATAATAAAAACATTATATAACAATATAATAACAACATTATATAACAATATAATAACAACATTATATAACAATATAATAACAACATTAACAATATAACATTAACAATATAACATGGAACGACAACCACAATTCTTCAAACACAACCTAGAAATTCTACAACTTCCACACAATAACACATAGAAAACAAGCTTAGAAAACATTGTTACAATGAACCCCTTAAAAATGGCTAACAAATTGTCCGGAAATGCATAGACAAAATATTCATTACGAACAGATTTATATACATAGTTAATCTTCGCCCTGTAAGGAAAACTGTAACATTAGATAATAACAGAACTTAAAAGATTTTACTTGTCTGTCCCCACATTCAATCAAACGTACAAAAGATGGTTACTGCCGATATATATATATATATATATATCACATAACGATATATAATTTTATATATCAAGAAAAAATATTGGGAAAATAGTATGACAAATTAGAAAAAAAACGTTTTTGTCAATTTGTCACATTTTTCGTCCGTTAGGACAGACTTAAATTAATTGATGAAACGCGTCACAATAACGTTTTTTCCAATTTGTCATACTATTTTCTCAAATAAATTATAGAATATATATATATATATATATATATATATATATATATATTATAAAACATTTAACATATAAGGTATGCTAACATTTATTAACCAAATGTGTCTAATATCAGGAATGGAGCACTATTTTGTAAAAAATAAAAGATCAACATCAGTGGCGACAGACTATTTCATTCTTTTTTTTAATCTCCAGAACATATATATATATATATATATATATATATATATATATATATATATATATATATATGAAAAAATGTTTATCAGGAGTTAATCTCAGAGATCAAAAAGACAATATTTTAGGAACGTAAAAACATCATATATATATAAATATATATATATTAACCGAGTTAACGTTTCGTCCAATGTAATATTATGGACTTTTTCGTCCAATGTGGACTAAAAATGAAATGAATTTATTAAAACAAAGTAACTATTAATAACAATACAAAATGTCCTTAGCAACTGGAAGAGTTTAGAAAACACTATTATATTTATATTGTCTACTGAAAATTACGTCAATTACTGTCACGTGTGGAGATATTGTTTTTATTGCTGTGTTGACGGATTCAACCATTTTCTTTTGATTTCTTGGTACAGTTGCGTACGTTTGTTTGGGAGAGATGTAATTCTGTTAAGAAAAGTGAAATAGGGAAAAATCCTGGGCGTAGATTAATATTTGGATAATATTCAATAGCGGCACTCACGAAGATTTTCCTTCTGTGTGAGTTAATTTCTTTTTTAAGAGTGTAGTATTTTTAAAATCAAAATTGTGGTTGAATTTATTTCTATGTATGACTAGTGCATTAGTTAAGTTGTTTTTTGTGAGGTCTCTTTCGTGTTCATAAATGCATTTTTTTAAATTTCTACTTATAAAACTGTTCTTCCTAATATATTGGGAGGAACAGTTTTGGCAATTTATATAATAAATACCTGCTTCAGAAATATTATTGATATTAGTGTTTGAGGATCTGAGTATATCCATAATGGTTTTGGAAGTGTTTGTAACTGTTCTAAGATTATTTAGATGGGATAGGTTATTCTGGATAGTAGACGTGACAGTGTTGGTCGGTAGTATTATGTATCTGTTTTCATGTAATTTACTATTGTGGATTATGTTATTAGTTTTGTTTCGGTTGTATATTTTGCATGCCTTTCTTCTTGCGTTGTGGATGAAATGACATGGGTATTGTAGGTTTTAAATTTGTTTTCTATGTATGTTTCTTCTTTAACTAAATATTGGGGACTGCAGATTCTTAATGCTCTCGGATAGAAACCTGTAAAAATTCCAGATTTAATTTTAGAAGAGTGGTTTGAGTAGAAACTGATCAGACCATTTTTGTTTGTCGCCTTTCTGTAAACGTCAACATTGAGTTCGTTATTATTTCTATGTAATATGATATCTAGGAACGGAAGAGTGTAGTTGGTTTCAGTTTCAAAAGTTTGTAGAGAAGTATCGGGGTTTTTTCTTTGGGCTTCAGACCTGCATCTGTGCGATTTTTTTGTCGGCAGAAGTTCATGTTTGTAGCTCTTTCTTTTTTTAAAACCTTTTTTTCCCTCGAGATTGATTTGATTAGCAAATCAAAAATTCGAGGGTTTTTCGAAACGAGTCTAGTTATCTATATTTATATATATATATATATATATATATATATATATATATATATATTACATATATATTACATACATATATATATAACCATATATATATATATATATATTGCGTTTAATATAAGCCAAATTTTTACTAGTTTTCCTTTCATCTAATTTGATTTTTTTTTTCGAATGCGCGGGCCGTCTTTACTCAACACCAATTAAGCAATGCGCTAAGCATTTTTCAAATTATCTTCTGTAGATATTTTAACCCATCTTCGCTTAACGTACTGCCTTCCTGCCTCACCGTACAAAAGTTAACCTTACTGCATCATTCCCATTCATTGTTTAACTATTTTCTCTTGTTCTCCTTTTTATTACCGTGCTATATTGTTTGTTTACACTGCTTCCTTAGCGATTGTAAAATCATAAATAAAATCAACAAAAATAAAATGGAATAAAAAAATTACTCAAAAGTTAATCGTACTAAAAATGATTTTAAAAAATCTGACGATTTAATCGAGCAAGAATTTAATACTTTTTTCGCTGTTCAACGAGAACAATGACGCTTCATCCCTACGAATCTTTGCTCATTCCGATATTTGGCAGAAATCCATTTTATATTTGCTTTCTAATCGTAGAAGATTGCAAAGAAACTTTCTTTCAATCGGGGTCGAGAGAAAAAAGAAAATTGTACACATTTTTTTGGAAATTTCTTTATTTAAAGGATTATCTCTATCTACAAAAGGCAAGATGCGTGTGTGTGTGTGTGTGTGTGTGTGTGTGTGTGTGTGTGTGTGTGTGTGTGTGTGTGTAACAAATGCACGGCCGCAATTTTCGACGGATTTGCACCAAAATTTACATGCACATGCTCCAAGTTAGCGGAAAGACCAAGACCGACTTTGCATTTCCCAACTCCCATCGATAATGGAAATAATTGATTTTTTCATGCCTCTACGTCAGTTTTCATGTAGTTTGCAGCCATTTTCTACTGGCCAGATTGAGAGCCTATAGCTGGCTGCCACGAATACGCAGGAAGATTCTATTGGCCACCGTGAGAGCCAACAGCTGACTAACACGAATGTTAACCAGCATGCTAGCATGCAAAAAAAAAATCGATAGCTGCATTCGTCACAAGTGGGAAAAATTTAAATCTGCATGGCACTTTACTCCAGTTGGCTCATTCGCCTGCTTAAACTCAACATTGATTCTGATTCCGCAGATGTGAAAAAGTATTTGTTGTTAACATTTTTTTTCATTCGCTTTTTCCAGTTACGAGTTCTTTTTTAAAGCTGATCGTTTTGTGTTCATTTTGTTTAGTTCTTTTTTCGTAACAGATTTAATGTTTAGTATAGAGCTTAGAAAAAATTCGCAGTGTGAGATAGGCAAGAAGTAAGACATGTAGCAACATCAGCACGGCAAAGGGCACTCCTTTAAATGCAAGTAAGGGCAAAACTATTTTAAGTCAAGTAATAGCGATTGCTGTATGAGTCGTACGATTTTTTAATCAAGCACGGGCAACGCCGGGCTATGTTGCTAGTTAAATGAATAATATGAAAATGAATTAGCAAAATTCTGAATGCAAATTGCGTTGATATTTTTTTAAAGAAATAAAAGAAAACGGATTAAAATCGTATTAAATATTTAGATTTATTAAAATCCATTTTTTCTATTTTGGTCAAATATATATTTCACTGCAAAAAATATTTTCTTTTGCGTTTTATCTGAGTGTATATGGGAATGCGCGATTGTATTTATGCGTGTGTGGATTCAGGTGTGTGTGTGTGTGCGTGTGTGTATGTATGTGCGTGTGTGAGCACGTGCGTGCCTGTGAATATATGTTCATACAGCCGTGTGCAAATATGAGTGCGTGTGCATGCGTTTGTGTGTGTGTGTGTGTGCGTGTGTGCGTGCGTGCGTGCAATATTAGCAATATACATCTTCTATATATATTGATTCGATCCGTAAAGCAAAAGATGAAAACGTGAACGAATGGAGATGAAGACACATTGAAAGATTCATTTTACAAATGCGGAAAAGAAAACAAAGAGAATTGCAAAATAAAAGAAAAAATAATTAACAAACAATAAAAGAAATGAAAAAATGCGTGGAGGATAATGTACGGAAGAACAGGAGTTGACCACTGAAAGCAACTTGAATTCAAAATGTCTTTTTGGCCCTTTGAGTTGTCTTCTCTTGAATAATTCTTCAATTAAGGTGACGTAAATGTAATATCATTGAAAAATATATTTTGTTTACTTTTTTCCCCTTTCATCCCTACAATAAAATAAAAAAGTATTTCACGTTTTCAGAGATCTAGATATTTATGCCATGTGCGTATTTCGGTATTTTTTTCAAATGCATGACGATCTGAATATGAGATTATTTAAAATAAAAACAAAAAGAAGAAAACGAACAGAGGGTAAAATTAAAAAGAAACAACGATCTTATAAAAGGAGTCTTTAGAACGATTAGAAAGAAAGAAAGAAAGAAAGAAAGAAAGAAAGAAAGAATCCCAAAATTGAAGAAGCAGACAGTAAAAATTAAAGAAAACAAAAGAAAGGCAAGAGAAGAAATAAAACATTAAACATAGAATAGAAACTAAAAAAAGAAAGAAAGAAAGAAAGAAAACGGAAGTAGTAAAAAGAAAAAGAAAGAAAGCCGAAGTAATGAAAAAAAGGGAAAGATAGAAAAACAAATAAGTGAAAAAAGAAAGAAAACTGATGTAATGAAAAGAAAAAGAAAGAAAACGCAAAAGTTTAAAAAGAAAGAAAGAAAGAAAGAAAACCGAAGTTTTGAAAAGAAAAGAAAAAAAAAGGAAATCCGAGAAAATAAAAAGAGAAAGAAGTAAAGAAATGAGGAACTGATAAACCGGGAAAAAGGAAAAGAAAAACAGATTCAAAGAAAAAAAAAAAAAGAAAAATGAAAAAATATAAAATTTCGCGAGATTAAACTTGCATCTCTAACTCGGACCTACTCAATGACCGGCGTTTTGTTAACCTCAATCCAACAGAAGGATTCATTAGTTGAAATATTGAGCTAATAAGCTAAGAGGTTAGCAAATGTAGTATCGACCATTCTTGGCGCGCTTTGGTAATGTGGTGCGATTGTCCCGAACTTTGACTTCGCCATTTTGAGAGTGACAGACGATACAAACCGGAAGAATTCAGCTTATGGACGCCATTGAAGGCTGTAATGGATCTTGGATGGGTAAGAAGTTCTCAATCGGTTTAATTACTTGTTACGACGGAAGAGCAAGGAAACACACACACACACACATATATATATATATATTGTCAAACAAGGAAAGCAATATGGAAAGGAAATAAATTAGCGAATAAAACTAGTACAGAAATACTCAAAAATTGACGCATAAAGAAACTTGGAAAGATATACGTTAGAACTAAATGGCTGACTGAAATAAGTGCGGAAAAAGAAGTTAATGGAACATATGACGACGATAACAGATACAGAACAACCAATGTCATTGAGTCGACAAAAATAAAAGAAGAGAATTAAGTGTGGCGGTGGGAAGGAAATGCAAAGAAGCGAAAGATGGCAGATGGATAGGAAGCAGAAATTATGAAAAAGAAAAAGAAAACGGTGTAAAAGGATCGAGCCAAGATGATATCAGGCCTTTTTAATAACGAGAAGCGAAGAAAATGAATTGAAGGGAAAATGAAAGTTGTCGATCGAAAAATAAAGGTAGGACATATAAAAATGGTAATGTATAAAGGGAGTCTATTTAGAAAGAAACGACAAATCAGTTCCTAAACACAAAAAAAGAAAGATGAAGCAGACAGTGGAAAAAATAGAGAAGTGATACAAAGTGAAAAGAGAAAAAAATCAAGGAATATAAGGTATTTAAAAGGAACACAAGGAAACGAGAAAGAAAATGAAAGAATCGAAATCGGAAAGTTTTTTTTCTATTTATTTTTTTCTCAGTGATGTTCACCCTGTACAAGGCCCGAGAACCACTCGAGGCAAAGGATTACAAATTATGCGGTTATGTGGGGAAGATAACCATTAACATTAACCCTAGACAAGTTAAGATTGTAGTGATCGGGAAAACACACTCTTGGGAGTCACTTCCAAACAGAGCAGCGGTTCGAAGGAAGTTGCTTGAGTGGAACTTACGTCTCACAAATGGAATACAAAGGGAATAAGAGTGATTCGCTACAATGGGCGCAATGAAATGTAGTTCGTTTGTGCATTTTCCATGGAAATAGTGATAGGACCGGGAGTGACTTGTGACGTTTCGTTTGTAAGAAAAGGAGTTGTAGGGTGGAAAATAATTGGTCACCCGTAAGGCAGGAAAGAAAAATGGAAGAATCGAAATCGGAAAAGCTTTTTTATTTACAATAATGTTCATTTTGTATAAGGTTCAAGAGCCACTCAAAGTAGAGTAAGAGGCACGGTTTATGTTGATATGAGGGAAAGATAACGGATAACCCTACATTTGAACAGGTTAAGATTGCAGTGACCAGGGAAACATCCTTTTGGGAGTCGGTTCATGGGAAGAAGCTGCTCGAGTGGAAATTAGGTCTCACTTATGGAATATGGGAAGAATGGGGGTGGTTCTCTATAATGGACGTGTCATGGCGGGTCTTAGCCGTGTAGGTTACAACTGGTGAGACTAAGGAACGTAGTTCGTTTGAATACTTTCCATGCAAATAGCAGTGAGAAGCTTGCGACGTTTCGTCTGTGAGAAAAGAGGTTGTAGAGTGGGAAATAATTCATTTGCTATAAGGGCATCGAGAAACTTTGGGACTCTATCGAGAATGGATAGCGAATACTGGGTAGTACTTGCCTAAAAATAGCAGCCGTACTCCAATTTCGGCCTGGTCTTGCTCTTGTAAAGGCTGAGGATGCCAGAAGAAGTGAGGTACTTGCTGGAGCGTTAGAGGAAACCGACTGTTTTTCCAACTTCTTTAGCGATAGATCGTATGTACAAGTTCCACTTGAGGTCTGGCTTTTGGCAGGTAAAGGATAGAACTGTTGGAACTAGTTTAGGCGAGAATATAAAGCGGCGAATAAAGGTATATTTAAAAAGCAGATTATTAAGAAAAAAAAGACCTAAGATGTCATTAATAGGAGTTGATTATGAAAAAAATGTGTATAAAGGAATATAGTTCGTCTGAGCACTTTCCTTGCAAATAACGATAGAGCAGTGAGAGGCTTGTGACGTTTCGTATGTGAGAAAAGGGGTTGTAGGGTGGAATATAACTGAAAGAATCGAAATTTTTTTGTTTGTTTTTTTTTACAATAATTTTCATCCTATATAAGGCCCAAGAGTCACTCGATGTATAGTATTATGTGGAAATATGTGGAAGATGGCAGTTAACCTTAAACCTGAACAGGTTAAGATTGCAGTGACCACGGAAACATACTTTTGGGATCGGTTCGTGGGAAAAAGCTGCTCGAGTGGAACTTAGGTCTCACTTTTGGACTATGGAAAGAATGGGGGTGGTTTGCTACAATGGGCCTGGGTTAGCGGGTCTTAGCAGGTGAAGTCTAGAACTGGTGGAACTAGGTTTGGCAAAAGAAGAAAGCGAGGAAAAAGTTATATTTAAGAAAAAGCTTTCGAAAAAGGACTTATTTAAGAAAAAGCAGATTATTAAGAAGAAAAGAAACCCTAAGAAGTCTTTCATAGGAGTTGATTATGTTTATGTAACTTAACAATATAATCAAAAATTATACTGTTTCTAAACAAAGTTTGGGCGAAATAGTAAAGCAGATGAAAACCTGTTGACGCTAATTGTGGTCGTAACAGGCGAAGAGGAAGACGAGAAAGGAAAAAAGAAGGAAGAGGGGAATGGTGAAAAGTCAAAAGAAAAAAATGAAAGAAAGAAAAGAAAAAGTAAGAAGACGTACGAGGAGAGGAAATAAAAGCAGATAAATGAGCTTAGCAAAAACGAATAAAAGAAATAATATTTGTTTCTGAAAAGGGAATAACTCCGAAAATATGTATCGGCAAATCGTCGTGACAATAAACAACGGAAGTTGGTGCCTCGGTGTAATGCTGATGGAATCAATTTGAACAACTCAGTGGACAGGACATGTCCACGGGAAGAATAGTGAGTCCATTTGGAGAAATTGGCCTAATAACTTCTTGCAAACACTTACAAACTTCCTTAAAATCTCAGTTTGTTCTGCATATATAACGATGGCGCCTACACTTAGGTAAGTCGCTTATTCCACTTACTTGGGATGAAATTATGATTTAAACCAAAACGGTAGGTCCATTTAATGCCTATCACGCTGCTTGACGACAAACTAAGAAACGAAGTAAAAATATTAGATTTTATTTCCTTTCCAATGTACCTGAATTATTTTTAAAATTGCATCACTTGCCAAATATCCGCCCTACAAACCGGGAAAAAATTAAATTGTCATCAAAGTTCACTCACCTTTAAAATTTCTGTATAAACATTTTCAATAAGATATCGATTTTATAAATTTATTTTTTGGTCATTCACTTGAATTTCCTGGATAGATTTGACCATAAGAGAATCATTTGAATAATTTTCTAGTATTTATATTAATAATCTATATATATAATACGCCATATATATATATGTGTGTGTGTGTGTGTGTGTGTGTGTGTGTGTGTGTGTGTGTGCTATATTCATGGGATAAATTGCTCAATATCAGAGATAGAGCGCATGTAAATATAAATATAAAAGTGAACATTGAAGTCAACACTCAGAGGCGACAGGCTGTTTCATGATGGACGCAATCGTCAGGCCGCGAATGTTGGATTTTTCCTCCACTCGGGTTGACTTGTTTGTTTATTTATTTGCTTTGGTTAATTTATTTTACTTGTTTTTCATTTTCCTTTTGTATCATTTATTCTTTTCGGTTTTTGATGTTTTATTAACGTATTAAAAAAATTGGGGTATTTGCTTAGGTCGTTTATTTAATAGTTTGTTTTGGTCTGGGGAGATAATTAAACCTATTTATTCGTCCAATGTTTAGATTAATTGCCGTAGTCTATTCTGTTATTTTGGCGGTGGGTAGAGTTTTTAATTAATTTATTTATGTGGATTGATTATTTTTACTTGTTTTTGCTTATTTATGCTTATTTTTATTACTTCTAACGGTTATTTTAGCGGGGTCGATTTGTTAATTTGTTCATTTATTTATTTATTTGGATTAATTTTTATTTGTTTTTTATTTATTTACTTATTTTTTATTTTGTATATTTTTATTTACTCTGTTTGGTTTTCGAATTTTGCGTAACTTTTAATGTTTTTTTCTTATCGTTATATAGCAGTTATAGCTATTTTTACGTCCAATCTTTGCATTTGTTGTTGTATTCTATTCTAATGGTTATTTTGGCGGGATTGTTTTGTTAATTTGTTTATTGTTATTTACTTTATTTATTGGTTTCGTATTTCTATTTGTAGTTTATCCTTTTTATTTTTGTATTAATTTAAAAAAGGAAAGGTTTATTGTTGTTTTAATGTGTCTCTTTCTTGTTTGCCTTATTTTGTGTACTTTTTCGGGTCTTTGTGCAACCGTTGTTTTTTTATTTCCGTTTTAACTGTTTAATTGTTATCTGTATTAATTTTGTGTAATTTCCTTTCTTCTTCTAACTTTTTACTTGCTTTGTGACCACTTGTTAAAGTTCCTTCTTGAGAAATCTCTATGATATTAATTTTAAGTCATTGTGGCGGACAAGCGTTCCCACAAAATTTGTCGCTCCACTAAAGACACCGTAATTAAATCTCTAATCACTCTGGGGATCAAACCTCAGAGGGTAATCAAAGGAAAGGGATATTTCATTTGGGACATACTGCTACCCATGCCTGCCGACTTTGAAGCCGCATCCAGTCGTGATGCAAAACACCTTATTCTTCG